TCTAAGCTTGGAATTCGAACATTCGAGACTTGTCGTGTGTTATGGTCTATAAATGTGTAGTGTTTGGTTAAATATCCATCTTTAACCTAAGAGACTCCTGTGAATTTCTGTGCTAGACTGCGGTAAACTTGAGAGAGGTCCTTGTGAATTCTATCTATATGTTTGTGGTTCCACACTTGAACACATTTAACATGTTAGGCCTTGGACTTTGCTATTAACGCAAGCCATTTCTCTCTGGATGGATGAGATTATAATAAGAGATGTGTTGTATTTGTAATTATACTTATAGCTTTGGAAACTTCCCTTTTTGTGATCCTTAAGTAGGTTGGATTTGATTTTCTTAGAGAATAATCAAATCGTTTGATGTTTTATTACCAACTAAGCGTATGCCGTGCCTAAAGGCACGGTGTAAATAATATTAAGATTAAAATGCAGTTATAAAAATAATTTAACAGACTGTACTCTACAATGGCACATCAGTCGATGCTCTACAATTTAAAAGAAATTAAAATTAAAATGCAAACCAGTTAGTGCTACTGCTGCCAATCAAATCTCTAAGAGAAATTAGAATCGGTGAATCAAATCTATAGATGGTATGTAGCTTCACAACAAAATTCATCTTATGACATCTGGTAACCACAAAATTTAGAAAATATAACGCACACACATCTATTCTATCATTGAACAAAATTGTTTTCATCTCCAAATGCAAGATGCCTACTTTTTGTAGAGTATTCTTTTCCATGATTACCAATTTTTACACCAAATTTATATATCATTTTGACATGTAATCACAAAATTAGTGCATCAGTAGACACCTTTCATGCATTAAAATACACATATGCATGGCATATAAGATGCCTCCTCAGATGATGGAACCTAACTGTATAGAGATAACTTGAAAATGGAGCCTAATAGCAAGAGGAACAATACATTATTTAACTGTATAGTATAGAGAAAAATTGACATTTTTTTCACTATCATATTCCATATCAGTTTAGGTGTTTTCTTTTGTCTAACATTAACAATACATTATTTAAAAGAAATACAAATAAAACAAAAATGATTGCCTACAGAAAATATAAGGCACAATAAATATGGTAAATGGACCACCCCAAAACAACTGAGATTAATGAGTGATCAAAAATATCCTAAATGTAGAACTGTTTCTAGAATTGGGTAATCATACTATTCAAGATAATATTGTGCAACTGATTTAGCTACTTCTATTCAAATCAATCACAGAGACAATGGGTTACGTTTGTCAGACCCACATTTGAATCCCTGATATAGAATATATATGGTTACAGAGAAATTTTCAAGTGTTAATCCAAGTAAGATCTATCAGAAGCAGCGGTTGCAACAGCTGATCATTACATAGCCACACTACACACCACAAAAGAAATTCAACACTAAAAGAGTTAGAAGTATGGACCCTACCTTAGGCTGAATATTGGTTATTGTGGACCTCAGCACAGTGATCTTCTTCATCTGGCAAATACCAGTGGGGGAATTGAACAAAAAGAGCGAAAAAACATAAGGAACATCCAATCTAAAGATGAAACAGAAGTTAACAGGTAACTTTCACTGGACATACCCTAAACAAAAGCAGGGGTATATAATATTTATTTACCAAATGTTGATCAGCAGATTTCTACTATATAGCACAAAGAATCCCAAAGATGATGTCAAATTTTTATCGAAGGAAAATTAATTACATACATAGTCAATAAAAAACTGAAACAAAGAATAGTACGGGATGTTGGTTGAAAAACAACTATAGGAGGCATTGCAGTTGCTTTGATAGGCTGCATACTCCTAGCAATACATTTTTTGTATGGTTTGGACCAAATCATTCTGTGTTCATCACAATATAAGCAAACACTACTCAACTGCAGAAAGAGGAAATAGTGGATTACTCAACTGTTAGAATCAGGTCATGGTATTTGACAATAAATAAATAACTATATAAATAAATAAATTTAAAAAATAAAAAATAAAGTGAGAAGTTAAGTTTTCAATAACCTAATTGATGTTTTCATGATTTTCAAAATAGGAAAAATCAGCTCATGAAATAAAATTAATTCTAACATATCTAAACAACCAAATAAGCATCAAAGAAAAATGAAAAAATTGAACAACAACACGATGAACATAATCCACAACTACCTCTTTGGTAGCAGATGAATAACATCTCAACACGGATACTGCAGGCTGCGGTATCCTCTGCGAGGATTGTTCTAAAATCTGAAATTAAATACTATCTATTAGATGCATAAAAATCTTCCTTTTTCAAAATCAAAACATACGATTGAAAGACCTACCGGAACAGGAAATCCTCCAGCTCCAAGTTTTTGCCTTGCAATCCTCCATATCCTCACAAATGAACTAAATACATACATACATAGTCCACATACACAAAGAAACCATAAAATTAAGCAGATAATATCTCCAAATCAGAGGCAAAACAAAATATTATACATAGTTCAAACCCGAATTGCAACAGACGGAAAATAGTCAATCAAAAAAAATATAAAAAAATTTGTTTTAAATTTTTTATCATAGACCACCGTTAAAGCAATCCTATTCATACAGGACTCAATCAAAGATAGTCAGTTAAACACCAGAATCGATCAAAATCATTCAAACAGATCCAGTAGGTAATCCATAAAGTAAACCACGCAGCAATAATATATAACAAATGTACGTACATCCAATTCGAGAGAGTAAAGTTCTTACAATCGGAATTAAATAAATAAATTAGAACAAAAGAAAGTTCTATGGTTGAGAATTAGAACAAAAATAAATAAATAAATAAAAATAAAAAATACACATACAACATAATTAAAAAAATAAAGAAAGTTCTAAGGTTGAGAATTTAACTGGAACAAAAAAAAAAAGCATTACATTAAGAAACCATTATACTATTTACCTCAATCTATTATATAGATAATTTCTCTTTGGACATTTTCAAAAACGTTTCTCCCATATTATATAGATATTGTATTACAAAAAACTAATTATTAAAAACCCAAAGAGAATAATAATAATAATAATAAAGAAAAAAGAGATGATAGAAAAATAGAAGGCCCAGCCTTATTAATGATGTGGCTGGCAACCTATTATTGCATTTCTACTTGGTCAATCTATCATGGAAAAGAATCAGGCAGATGAGAAAAAGAAATCAATAAGAGAGAAGAAAAAAAAGTAAAATAATTACCCTGAATTTCTATTGAATTCCCAATTACTAACATGCAATCGACCACAGTTACTGTTGCAGCTTGGGAGCCATACCACATGACATCGCACAAACTACTTTTTGTCCGGCTAGGACTTTTATCAAATATTTGGTGACCACCATCACAACCACCACTTCCAACGCACATATCACAACCATCAGCTTCCACCCCCACATCTGCCATCACCACCAGCCTACCACTACCACAAACTCACCCCCACTCATTAAGAAACCATTATACTATTTACCCCAATCTATCAAAAACAAAATCAAAAACATCAAATATATTTCTTATTCTTGGCTGCAGTGGAGCAAGAGACCCCGATTTATGCTTGGAATAGAGCATTCTATGAGGAAGATAACCACAACATGAACAGATTTGGTAGAAATTACAAATATATATAACCCGTAAACAAAACCCTAGAATAACCTGTTTGAATCAGAACAACCATGAGAGAGAAATTAGTCAAAAAGAAAAAGAGAGAGAGAAGGGGGAGAGGCAGAAATCGAGTGGAAAGGCTCAATCTTACCTTGCGAGAGCAGCGTCGGTAGCGTGGATAGTGAAGGGAGTCGAGTTCGAAGCGTTGTAAGGGAAGGAGGAGTAGCGTAGCGAAGGGGGAGGGTGGTTATCGAAAGGTTGGGTTTTTGCTGAATTCAGTCTTCCTGTTCAATGGCTGTGGTGATGAGCAGCAGTGAGAACGTGGGAAAGAGAGAGTTGCAGAGGCGTGTTGTTTGGGGATGTGGGAGAGAGGGAGAGATGAGCTCAAACGGACGGGAACTAAATGCACCTAGACCATTGATCTAAATGTATATGGACTTAGGACCGTTGAAATCAATTGTATCTCTCATACATTTTGGATATATTCAAAAACCTTTCTCCTATATTATATAGATTGTATTACAAAAAACTAATTATTAAAAACCCAAAGAGAAAAATAATAATAATAATAAAGAAAAAGAGATGATAGAAAAATAGAAGGCCCAGCCTTATTAATGATGTGGCTGGCAACCTATTATTGCATTTCTAATTAGATTTCTACTTGGCAATCTATCATGAAAAAGAATCAGGCAGATGAGAAAAAGAAATCAATAAGAGAGAAGAAAAAAAAGTAAAATAATTACCCTGAATTTCTATTGAATTCCCAATTACTAACATGCAATGGACCACAGTTACTGTTGCAGCTTGGGAGCCATACCACATGACATCGCACAAACTACTTTTTGTCCGGCTAGGACTTTTATCAAATACTTGGTGACCACCATCACAACCACCACTTCCAACGCACATATCACAACCATCAGCTTTCACCCCCACATCTGCCATCACCACCAGCCTACCACTACCACAAACTTACCCCCACTCATTAAGAAACCATTATACTATTTACCCCAATCTATCAAAAACAAAATCAAAAACATCAAATATATTTCTTATTCTTGGCTGCAGTGGAGCAAGAGACCCCGATTTATGCTTGGAATAGAGCATTCTATGAGGAAGATAACCACAACATGAACAGATTTGGTAGAAATTACAAATATATATAACCCGTAAACAAAACCCTAGAATAACCTGTTTGAATCAGAACAACCATGAGAGAGAAATTAGTCAAAAAGAAAAAGAGAGAGAGAAGGGGGAGAGGCAGAAATCGAGTGGAAAGGCTCAATCTTACCTTGCGAGAGCAGCGTCGGTAGCGTGGATAGCGAAGGGAGTCGAGTTCGAAGCGTTGTAAGGGAAGGAGAAGTAGCGTAGCGAAGAGGGAGGGTGGTTATCGAAAGGTTGGGTTTTTGCTGAATTCAGTCTTCCTATTCAATGGCTGTGGTGATGAGCAGCAGTAAGAACGTGGGAGAGAGAGAGTTGCAGAGGCGTGTTGTTTGGGGACGTGGGAGAGAGGGAGAGATGAGCTCAAACGGGCGGGAACTAAATGCACCTAGACCATTGATCTAAATGTATATGGACTTAGGACCGTTGAAATCAATTGTATCTCTCGTACATTTTGGATATATTCAAAAGAATAATGCTTGAGACCTCCTTTTGGGGGTCACCCCCTCACCCCTTTGCCACGTGGCAGGGGGTGATTGGAGGAGCAGGAAAAAAAAAAGAAAAAGAAAAGGTAACCAATGAGAGAGAGAGGGGGTCAAAGGGAGTGGGGGAAAAGGGGGGATGAATCATTACTCTATTCAAAAACCTTTCTCCTATATTATATAGATATATATAATTGCAAAAAATGTTAGAGATTCTAAATGAATTACAAATTTTTTTACACAATACTCAGATGAGTGTGGGTCCCACACACATGTATGTATTGTGTAGAATATTCAGTAATCCATTTGGAACCCCCAATCCCTAACATTATTCTATAATTATGTAATTAATTATATTGTAGGTAAAAGACAATTTTAACCATTAAAATATGCATTATATGCCATTTTAAGTCCCTTTACCTTTAATTTTGTCATTTTGGTCATTAAAATTGTTAGTTTGAGTCAATTTGGTCCCAATTCTAACGTACATTTACATTGATAACGAAAAAAAAGAAGATAAAGACAGTTTGTTTCTAAAGTATGTATTTCTTATTATTTTAATATTTTACATTTCAATTTTATCAATTTGATCTTTACAGTTGTCAATTTGATCATATCTCTAATGTCCATCTACATTGATAACAGAAAATAAGAATAAAAGATAGTTTTAGTCTCTAAAATATGCATTTTTTTATTTTATTTTTTTTATCATTTGTCTTTTTAAATTTTGATTCTATCATTTTGATTCTCACAATTGTCAATTTGAGTCTATTTGATCATATCTCTAACTTTCTACATTGGATAATGAAAAAAAATATTTTATCTTTGTTTTTAGGGTAAATTACACTGACGCCCCCTCTATTTTTTGAAATATCATTATTATCTCCATTTAATTCTTTAAAAAATTACAAATAACATCCCTCTTGGTCTACTCTGTTAAATGCAATAGTTAAATGACTACTTACGGTTGGTTTTGGGAAGTGATTTTTTTAGCTTTTTGACTAAAATGTGATATGACAAAAAATAAAAAACAAAAAACAAAAAACTAAAGTGTTTGAGAATATTTTTTTTCATATTTTTACGAAAAAATGTGTAAAAAGTAGAGAATGAGAATGAATCTTTAACTTTTTGTATGACTTCTTAAAATTTTGATTTTTTTTATAATTTTTTAACTATATTAGTCTCGTCCCAAACTCTTAGGATGTGTTTGTTTGAACGAACTGGATTAAGGGGGATTGTAATCTATCGGACTATTAAGCCTGGAATACATTGTCCTTGGACTATTTGGTTGTACTGGATTTGTATCCTATGTTTGTTTAGTCATGAGATTAGATGTCTAGATTTGACTATTTTTAGTGAATCCAATGTTTGTTTGGGATATTATAGAGAAGGATAAATGCTGAAATGACTATTTTATCCTTTTTAATTATTTACTAAGTAATAGTAATATTAAACATAGCTTTAATATTTTAATTAATTTTAGTTAGATTAAATAAAAATTTATTTTATTTTATTTTTTGCACAATTAAATAAATTTATTTTTAAAAAATTAAATATCAATAAAAATATATGTTATTTTTTAATTAAAATTTTAAATAAATTTATTTTAAATAATAATAGTAATTAAATAATGAAATAAAATAAAACATGTATTAAAATTTAAATAATGAAATTAAATAAAATATAAACAAAATTTTAAAATAAAACATCAACAAAATATATATAAAAAATTATTTAAAAAAATTAAATAAATAAAACAAAAATAAAAATTAAATAAAATTATTTTATTTTTAAATTGGGACATTTAAATTTTATTAAATTTTACTAAATATAATACATAATTAAATACCAGAGGGCAAAAATGTAATTTTATTAGCTAATCCCATGATTTCTATCTCCCCCAATGAGGTATCATAGTCTGGAGCAACACTTTTGAAACAATGGACTATTAGTTCATTCGAGCTAATAGTTCAATCCCATGTCCAATCCTTCCAAAACAAACACCCCCTTAATCTCTTCTGTCCTATAATGGCCGTGATTTGGGATTTGAGTTACTACTCAGAAAAAAGAGAGAAATGATAAAGATTGTCTATGGTGATACAGTACAATAAAGTATATATTTAAGGTAAATAGACATGTGGTATAATATGATTGGAGTTAGGACCAAATAAATTCAAATTGACAATTTTAAAGACTAAAATAACAAAATTAAAACTTAATAAACTAAAATGATAAATAATGCATACTTTAGGAACTAAAATTATTTATATTGTTCCCGTTATCAATGAAGACGGATGTCAGAGTTAGGACAAAATTAACTTAAATTGATAAATTTGAGAATTAAAATGACAATTAATAAAGGACTAAAATGACAAGAAACACATATTTTAGAGACTAAGGCCTCATTTGGAAACATCGAATTTTAGTTCAAAAGCTAAAAAGTCAACAAACTGTACAAAATGTCAAAGATTTTTTTTTTCTATACTTGTTGCACATTTTTTTTTTTTATAAAGAGTTAAAAAGTCATTCTAAATGTATTAATTTTTTATTTTATTTTATATTTTAGCAAAAAAATTAAAAAATTACTAATGCTTATATTTTTGCTCAAACTTATTAAAGGCTAATGTAATTTACCGCTACAGTGCCGTACAAAAATTAAGAGGTAAATTATAAATACATTTCTTGAGATTTTTTTAAAAGAAAATTTAGTCAAAACCCTTCTATTAGAGCCTAATTTAGTGAAAATGACAACCTAATTTATTTTGTTTCATAAATCCCCTAAAGAGGAAATGCATAATTGAGTAAGAATGGAGTAAATTTTCTTTTTTCTTGGAAAACATTGCCTATGCATATATATATATATATATATATATATCAGAACTCTTTTGAATGGGAACACTTTTGTTTTATTTTATACAAGTTTTAAAATGTTGTGTGTGTGTATTTTTGGTTGGTTCATCTAGTATGTGCTTTGTTTTTTGCAACAGTAAAATATTACTGTAAAGCAGAGTAAAGTGGAGACTCCTTTGATCGCTACAAGGAATACAGGTTCCTTTCCTCTCTCTCTCTCTCTCTCTCTCTCTTCAATATTCTCCTTGTATGGCTGTATTATATTAAATATGAGATTATTAATAGAATTATGATGATTATGAATAGGATTATGTTGATTTTTTTTTTTATGAAATTAAATAAGAGATTATTAATAGAATTGTGATGATTATGAGATAAGTTATCTCACAAGATAAAAAATAACACCAGGATCCTCTAGAGTTTTTTTTTCCTAAAGTGGTGTGTTGTATGGATGAGATTTAATGCTAAAAAATTGATGTGACTTGTCATTAAATCTCAACCATACAACACACCACTCTAGGAAACTATTATTAATAGAATTGTGATGATTATGAGATAAGTTATCTCACAAGATAAAAAATAATATAATATAAATATTTTTTATAAAGATTTATTATTATTATTATTATTATTTTTTTAATGTGATCCCTCATGCTTCTTCTAATACCATCGTATTATCTTATCCGATGTACTATTATTATAGTTATTTACATTCAGAATTGGACTATCTAATGAAACTTGACCTTCCTTTGGCATTAGTTCCGGTAGTTAATTTTTTTGTTATTTTTGAATTTTTTTAATTTTTATAAAAAAAAAAATTTGTAATGATTATGGTTTAAATGTGACGTTATATCTGATTAACTTATATAATATATTTTGTCTTTTGTGGTTTTTTAACCCCAAAATGAAAGCCAAACAAAGACTTGTAAATTTCTTATTTTTAATATTTTTTTTATTATTCTACATACTGGACTGACAATCGAATTATTCAGAATTTACTATATTCGGAATTAGATTATGCAGTGAAACTTGTTTGTTTGGACGGACTGGATTAGCATTCTCATGACTAATAGTCCTAAGACTACGAATTCGTCGGATTATGTATCCTATCTTAACTAATAGTCAAGTTTAAAATAATTAGTCCGTACCTCAATTGTTTAACCAAATATCGGATTAATAATTTTATTGGACTATTAGTCCAATCCCAAGCTCATGTCCACCCAAACAAACATGGCCTTTGTTCTTATCTCACAATCAAATACTGGACTTACAATCGGATGAGCCTCGTATGTTTCCACCACAATCAAATATGACCATGTCACAAACACACGTGTTCGAAATTTATGTTCCGCCCACTTGGGGTAACAAAAAAATTCAACCGAAAATACTTGTTCTTTTTTTGTTGAGTTTTTAAATATTGTTTTTATGTTTTTTTAAATTTTTTTTTATATAAATTAGGTTAATGTTTTCATTTTTTTTGAACTGATTTGATGTTTTCATTTGATTTTCTTTTTTTGAAAAGAAAATAATTTTTAAAATAATTTTTATGTTTATTTTGTAAAACTAATTTTTATTTTTCCAAAAATAATTGAAAAAACAAGTCCATTATTTACCATGAATTTTTTAACTTGAAACTTACTTAGAATGTAAATTCTATAGTATAGATTTAAAATTAATACAAAACCTAGTCATTGATTTAATCTTTTGTTTAGTTTTCTAATATTTTTTTAGTATGCGCTATTGTTGAAATACGACCCATGATTTTCGACCCTCTCAATTCTAATAGAATGAATTGAGGAATTTAGAAAAGGTCCGATTTGGAGGTAAAAATGAATTGATTTTTTTTTTCATTTAGATTATGAGGGTTACGAGTAGAGGTGATCATGGATCTGTCTAATCTGATCAAATCAATCCAATTCGATTGATTTTGGACGGATGTGTGTCTTTTAGCGGATGAATACAGATAAAATATTTTAAAATTTGCAGATACATTTCTGATATTAATCATCCCACACCCACATGAACCCAATCCGCCTGTAGATGAAATATATAGAATTATATAAAAAAACTACTAACAAGTAACAACATAAAATAGAAATAATAAAATATATATTTTTATAAAAATAGAAAACAATATCTTAAAATATATACATGTGTGATGTCATGGCCTATTATAGACAAATAGTACATATTTTTTGAGATTACTAGTTATTGAAAATTGTAAAATTTAAGAATTATAATTCAAAAAAATGCTCAAAATTTGTAAAGTCCAAACCGTCAAACTGATCACATCCATCTGTCAACGCGTACAATCCGCTCAATTTGCATCCGCCAAACCGGTAGAGGGGTGTGGATTGATTTTTTCTAATCTGCTTAATTTTTTATGGATGATGGACGAAATGTCATCCAACCCAATTCGATCTGCGATCATTCCTAATTACAAGACATGCTCAACAAGATTACATTTACTATTACAAAAATATTTTTTAATTTTTGAATATTATTTGATCGCATAAAGTGATTTTTAATTATTTTTCATTCTCATATTTTTTTTTTTAAATCCAAAAAGTATTTCCAGTTTACATACTGTGTAGTACATCTTCTCTTTTTCCCTCTATTCTATCAATCTTACCAAATGTCGAATTTAATAATAAAAATATAAGTAATCAAATATTGATTGTCTGCATTTACTGTTACAAAAATATTTTTAATTTTTGAATATATTTTGAATATTATTTGATCGCATAAAATGATTTTTAATTATTTTTCATCTTCAAATTTTTTTTTTTAATCCAAAAAGTATTTCCAGTTTACATACTCTGTACTACATCTTCTCTTTTTTCCTTTATTCTATCAATCTTACTAAATGTTGAATTTAATTATAAAAATATAAGTAATCAAATATAGATTGTCTCAAATCCTAATAAAAAGAAGGTGATTCTATTTGCATCCAAAAAATGATTGAGTATACTTAATTTCTCAGTACTTTCTATTAAATTATTTAAAATTACAATTTACTCTCAGTATATCCTTATTTTTATACAAATTGCCTTTCAAGATGAAAACATAATTTATGATACACCCAAATAATAAACAAATCAAAAATTTCAAATTACACTATTTTGAAAAACCCTTGAACAAATTTCTTAAACAAGATCTTCCATACTTGTGCAACTTCTTCAACACCCCTAACTTGTTGAAGTCTCTGGGCATCAACTCACCACCAAAGCAATGTCATTGTCAGGTAGCAGTAGTATATATGATTTAGAATTAAGATTGAAAATTTTAATTTTGGAGTTCTAAAGAGAGTTAGTGATGTAGCAAGGAGCAGGGTCTACATGTGATGTGATGTGATGTGCGTGTCTCTATTTTTATTTTTATTTTTTTTCTCTTGCCACACCCTCTCTTTAGAGTTCCAAAATATGATTTATCTACGAATTGAATTCTTGGACTGTTTTAGTCCAAGAGTACGGTGGTGTTGCATCAAATTTTTTTTCCCCCTTCAAAGATCTATTAGATAGAGAATCAAGAAAAACAAAACCATCCCTAACTAAAGGAGGTAATAACCATGAACGGGTGTAGCATCCCATGAGATACACCCAACTCCACTACTAACAACAGACTTAGCCACAGTATGTGCATCAATTAATGCATCGATATATAATATATATATATATATATATGGTTTAGGATACTAGGGTTTAAGATTTATATATACATATTTTTATATGTTCTTAATCTATATCTATCGTGAATTTTTAACTCCAAGGCCTGTGGGAGTTTCAATATCTCAATCTGAATGTTCTACATTATTTATTTAAAAAAAAACAAAAAAACTCAGCATTTATTGATTTGGTCAAAATCGCATTTATTAACGTTTTTCAATCCACATGTCTTTCTACATGCCTGCATTTATTGATTTGATCAAAATCTCCTGATCAACATTTAAAATCCCATTATACAAATAATTATAGATACAATCTGTGCATAGTTATTGCAGTACCTTTTTCAACTTCTCCTATACATTATGGTTTGTGATAAGATTGTTAAATTATTTTTATAAAAAATGTTAAAAAACATAATTTATATATTAAAAAAAATCTAAAATAAATATGAGTATCTATAATTATTCTGTGCATAGTACGAGTGATATGCTAGTTATTTTTAATATGAAAATAATTATCCCGTGAAATAGAATGATATCATGGAATAGGTCATGTAAAATGTTAAATACACAAATAATTGGGTATTGTTTTGGGTGATGTAAATCGTGGAATACACACATAATTGGGTGATGGATTTCTTAAAAAAAAAAAAAAAAAAGATTATTATTCTCATTCATTGTTTGATTTTGTTCAAATTTTCTTCTATTTGCAAGTAACAACACAATAAGAAATAATGATATTAATGATAATGGTGAGGATCAAGATGAAGATAAAATAATTGAAACTTGGAGAAGAAGATGGACAGACCTGAATATAAAGAACAAGTATAAGTGATTAGAGTGTACTATTGAAAAAAAATAATATTTTATTTTAAGATTTAATATATATTGTTCTTATTAATAAATTTACACAAGAATTAAAATTTCAAAATTTTAATTAGACATACAGAGTTACTGTTTGGCTGCAAATAGAATCACTAAAATGATTGGAATATCTACTCAAATATTTTGGCCCAATTACATGACGCACTTTGATAGTTTGATTAGTATATTATTTTAATTACTTTGTATGAATTATTCAGATAAAAAAATCAAATGAAACACTCCAGAGTGGCGACACCGCCTCCACCATATATATAGTGGGTGTTTGGAAAGTGATTTTTTTTTAGGTTTTTTGACTTTTTGACTATTTTAGTAGGCTATTTTAGTTTTTGTATTTGAGAAGTTGGGTTAAATTTTTGGGTTGATTGTTGTATTGAAAAATGTGTTTGAAATGATGTTTAAAGTTAAAATGACAAATTTGCCCTTAACCTCATTTTTTCCAAAATTGATCTATAGGGGTACAAGCATCATTTAACTGTCTGAAGCTTACACTGTTGGTGACAGTATAAGCTGTTGTGCTGCTAGATAGCCGCTACTTTTCCTTTTTTTTTTTTTTTTTAAATCAATGGGTTAGGTGGGGCTAAAAGGCTTTTTTGCAAGTTGATGCAAAAATAGCCTGCCTTCCTGGTTCCCAAACACCGCCATAGTATGT